TACTTGTCCTTTCATAAATTCATATTGTCCTTTCAAATCTTATAAATTCTATTAAAATTTATAAGATTTTTTATCTAAAAAAAAGTCTTTTAAAATCATAATTTAATACACCCCCGATTACCAAAAAAAATAAAAAAAATACACCCCCTAAAGTTTATAAGCCCAAACCAAATTGAAATGTAAAAGATAAAAAAAATTATTCACAAAGATCACATGAAATAAATTTTCATTAACATCACATGAAATAATGTTCATAAAAATCACATTAAAATTTCATATATGTATATATACATATAATTTGCACTTTCTTTACTAATTGAATTTTATATTATATTTTAAATTTTAAATAAATATTTATTATTTGTTAAAATAACATTAATTCTATTACTTTGAAAATTAATCTTACAAATTATGATCTCAGAATATGTTTTTAAATGAATAATATATATCATAAATATATTATATTATTAAAAAAATAAAGGTACGTGTAATTATGATAAATATTTTAACATGTAATTATGAATACGTTTGATTCAGATGTTGCTTTATCCATCAAATTTGAGCACTACAGCTCTATATTAATATATGTGTTTAATTGTGCGGTGCAGGTTAATTTGTTTGTAACGGTGCATGTGTTTAAATGTGTCAGTCTGACCAAGCTTGTTACCTATTATGAATATAATTATCGGACTGTGACCTAACTTGTTTACAAAAAAAATAAAAGCCTGATTTGGCCTATCGGCCTGTTTAAAAAAAAAATAAGACAGAACTTAAGGAAATTTTGCATGGTTTAAAGCTTGCAAGTGCCAGAAAATTTAGAGAGTATGGCTTAGTTGTGACAGTAAAGAAGCCCTCCTATGCATGGAAGATCAAGCTGATCATGGTTGCTTTGATTCTATTTGTAATGAAATTAAGAATACTGCTAATAGTTTTATTCAAATCCTGTGGAGTTTCGTTCCTAGGGAAATGAATGATTGTGCAGATAGCTTAGCAAAGTTAGGTTTCAAACAGAAGGGGATTGAGATGTTGTTTTTTTCCTCTCCCCCTGTTAGCATTTTATCTGCTTGGAATACTTTTTGTACAAACTTTCTGGTGGAGCATGTTTCTTTAACCATGCAAAAAGTTATTAATATAGTTTTGTTGGGCTAGGCCCTCCATTTTATAAAATAAAATAAAAAAATAAGACAACAAAAATTTATTCAAACAGAATATACAATCAACAAAACTAGTAATTCCATAAATATTCATAAATTCAATGTATATCCAAATAATATAATAAGAACAAAATATTCAAAAAGTCTGTTTAACCAATAAAATGGGACGAAATGGATTGAGCAGAGAGAGAGGGCTATTACAAGCAGTATAAACAATATAAAATAAATAAAAATAAAAATTAGTATCCTAGGCCAGCCTGAGAGACTCTAAGCCCGAGCTTTTCAATTGGAGCCTGAAGCCTTTTTATTAAACGAGCTTTTATATAAGTTCAAGCCTTGTTCCAACAACCAATTTTAGACATGTAAGCTCAGGCCTTTACGAGCTGAACCAAAGGCCCCTGAAAGGCTCCTGATTCGTTTAGCACCCCTATTAGTATCTAATGGCTCTGTATTTACAATAGAGGAAATGTATTCAAGTTTGGAAATAATATTTTTAGTATTGGTTTGTACATATAAATATAGGGGTTTGTTTTTTTCATATGTTGTAGGAGAAAATAAATTCTTACTACAGACACTATAAAAAGATGTGTCACTCTTTTTTTGTTTTAAATAGGTGGGTCCCACACTCATTGTATCTATAATATGAGATTAGACATTTCCTACAACATAAAACTTTTTTTCCCATAAATATATAATCAGCCCTTTTGTTAGGTGTTGCAAGAACACTCACTAAAAATAATAGTGTTATTATTGTGTTTATTATCATATAACCAGGGGTGCTAAACGAACCAGGGGTCTTTCAGGGGCTTTTGGCTCGTGAAGGCCTGAGTTTACATGGCTAAAATTGGTTGTTGGCACTAGGCTTGAACTCGTATAAAAGTTCGTTTATTAAAAAGGCATCGGGCTCCAATTCAAAAGCTCGGCCTTAGAGCCTCTTTTTTTTTTTTTTTTTTGGAGTTACCCAACCCTAATTATCTCTTTGAGACGAGTTGGCTCCCTCCGGTATCCCAAGAGCTTCGACTCTTTGAGCCGGCTATGGGACTAATCCGGAGTGTGGGGGAACAGTGATGGCTAAAGGTTCAGCCCCCTCACCAAGAATGCATTCAGCGGGAATCAAACACATATCCAACCCCACTAACTCAGCGCCAAGTTACCAACCGAGCTGCACCCATTGGGTGGCCTTAGAGCCTCTCATGCTGGCCTAATATATATATATATATATATATATATATATATATATATATATATATATATATATATATATATATATATTGTAATAGCCCTTTCTTTCTCCCCAATCCATTTCATCTCATTTTATTGGTTAAACAGACTTTTTGAATGATTTTGTTCTATATTATGCTGTTTGGATATACATTAAATTTATGAATATTTATAGAATTACTAGTGTTGTTGATTGTATATTCTGTTTGGATGAATTTTTATTATCTTATTTTTTAAAACAGGCTAACAGACTAAACTAAGCTTTTATTTTTTGTAAGTAAGCCAGACTATATTCCGATAATTATATTTATAACATGTAACAAGCTTGTTCTGGCTGACACATTTAAACACAGACTTAATCTTTTAAGACCAAAACTCGCCCCAGCTCGACTCGTTAACACCCCTACATATGACCAATCCTTTGCTTATGGTTGGTATATATTTTATTTATTGTATTCACAGTGTAAAATTGGCACTCGGGTTGACCTGTTAAGTTTACCAAGTTTCCTTGGATGGCTGACTTAAGGTATTTTTGGTTTGAAATTTAGAGGCCGTATAAGATAAAAATTGGTAATTGGTCAATGGATGATATATAGAGGGCACTGCTCTTCTATTGTTTTTTCTATTAATTTGTTCCCCTGTACTTTCGGCATACGGTTGAATTGGGAGGTTACTTGTTTTAAATTGACATAATTGTTTGCAAGTTGATATGGTTTCTTGCTTGTGATTTTAAATCATGTTGTTAACGATATAGTTTAATACATATATTTATTGTCATTTCAGATTTTTAATGCTACGTCTGTTTACTTCAACGTTGCTATTAATTGACTTGGCCATTGTGCTACAAAGTCATTCTGTTTGGCCAGGAAATTGATTATCTCATGATCCATTTTTAGGAATTGCAGCATGAAGTATTTGACTTTGTATATCCTTACAGAAGCCAACAACAATATCTATATTTTGGTATGTTATATGTTCCTATTTTTTCCAACATTTCTTTTCTTGATTGCGGCTATAATAGTTATAGAAGGGTAAAAGTATTTCATGTCAAGGAATTACTTATAACAGGTATATCTCATTTTTGTTCTGTGGACGCAGAATCATTTTGGTAGAGCAAGTCTTGGTGGAATCATTTTGGTAGAGGTAGTCAGTATATTACATGAATAATGATATTTACACAAAAAATACTTTATTATTTGAAACACAAATGAAAAGTTATATCAAAATTTGTATTTTTATTTTATTATTTAAAAAATTATGTAAGAATAATGTAAAAAAAAAATTGATGCACAAATATCATTCCTAAATATTCTGTTCTGCTTCCACTGCAGACGAAGTATGACAAGAAATAAGTAAATATCAATTCCTCCTCTTGATCTTGCCTGCTAGTAAAATACAGTAAAATGATTAAAACAAATCAAAACCTGCTATACCAGAAATTTAATATAACTTTTTTCTATTATCACAGATTGATTGGTAAGAAGTATATAATTCTTATTAATACTTTTTCTAATGTACCTCTTTCCTTTTTTATAATGGTTTTATGTGAAGTATTTGGGGAGAAATCCCATAATTGTGTTGGTGTTTGGATTGAGCTAAAAATAGATCCGGGGATTAATATATTCCTAAAATTTATTGCTCGTTTGAAAACATTCTGCTGTTACTTTTTTGAAATTTTGTTCTAAGAATAAATCAAGAGTATAAAATTAAGAGCCAGGACAAGATTCAATCCATTTATAGAATAGCACGGTGGAGAGCGAAATTAGATTGGAAAGTGAAGCTAGGTGCTACTCATACTCAAACCACGCGGGGTAGAACATGAAACTACCACATCCAAAATACAAGGCACAGCAGTCAAACATAGAGAGATCCATCATAACCATCAATCATCATAAGGATAAAAGTTTTAGACCATAAGATTATGGGTTTTATGTTTATTATTTTACGTAACATAACTTCACTTTCCTACACACATATTAAAGAGGTGAGATTCACATATTTTTCTTTCTCTTTCATCATTTCACTTTTTCTCTCCCCATTATTGTGTGTGTTAAAAAATCCACTTATATCATATCACGTAACATTAATAAAACCCTAAGATTATATACCAATTGGATTCACCCTTAGCTTACAAAATTTTAATTCCAATTTGTGATTAACTCAGCAGAACAAATAGATCGCTGACTCCACACAAATTTGACCAGTGACACAAGGTATCAATCTCTGTCCCCGTGTGTGTGTGAAAGAGAGAGGATCTGAAGAAAAGACACGAAATACCGTTAGCAGTCAAACCAAACCAGGAATTCCCCCCACCAAGGAAACACAGACTTCACAGAACAGTGAGGTCTTATCAAAGAAACGAGAATAAAGATTGTTGTGTACGAGGTCCTTGCACAGGTTGATGTCCAAAGTGCCATATTTATTACATCATATCACCCTGAGCTCCTCCTTTCTCTATATTAGCTACAGCGCTTCATACACTGACCCATTAATTTGATTAAGAATTTAAGATAGCGTTATTGTCCACAGAACCGCCAACAATAATAATCAAATAAGAATCTAAAACAAACACCCTTGTCCACATTATAAAATTTTTATGTTAGAACTTGAGAACACAGCAATGAGAAACCAAATCATGATAAGCTCAAGTCACTGTCCTCTTTGACAATTAGATAAAATAAAAACCCACAAAGCCTCATAATAATCCAGCTAACCAACTACACAATTTTACAAAGCAATTACACTAACACAAAATCTAAAAAGACCAAACCAACTTCTACAGAGTACATCACTACTTCAACCCATCAAAAGAAACATTCTATGATTCAACACTCACTTCAGTCAATTGAGGCTTCACCTTGGGAGGCCTACCCCTACCCCTCGGCCTTCCACTAGGGGCGGCGGCGGAGGCACTGGGAGGAGGCGGCGCCACCGCAGATGACCGAGCAATTTTCTTTGGTCGGCCTCTTGGCCTTCCACTTCCACTTCCAGTAGAGGACACCTTAGCCTTTGGTGGAGCATTTGGGTCCTTTGGGGGTCGACCCCTTGGCCTTGGTGGTGACAAAACTGTGCTTGGAGGCATAGGATCCTTTGGTTTGGGTGGTCTTCCACGGCCCCTCCTTGGTGGGGCATTTGGGTCAGGTTTCATGTAGTTGTTCTTCCAGAACACAAGCTCCCCACTATCTTTCATCTTGTTGAGGTGAAGTAAGAGAAGATCTGAATGATCTTCTGGCAACTCACCATAAGTTGATTCTATGTACTTCGATATCGCTGATTTGTTGGATCCACCGCTTTCATCCAGGGATTCCAGTGCTTTCACTATCATCTACAATAACAGCATCAACACCACCCACAGTTAACAATTGAAAAAAATGAAGTCTTTTTAACTAGCAGAGCTAGTACGTTGAGTAAATCGTAGTTCCTGTTAATGGGTTTGTGAGAAAAACAAAGAACTTAAGATGAATTGGGCGTAAAAGGGCCTCTCTTAAATTCCTCAATAACCCTAATTTCTTCCTTTTTGTCTCCAAAAATGCTCAAGATTTCAGTTCAGTGGGGAAAAAAAAAAAAACAGAAGACCCATGTCAGTGAAAATGTATAGATCAGTTAGATCAATATAAAATTTCACAACTTTGATGAGAAAATTGTTCCAAGATTTAACCTTGGAGAAAGATTAAAAGGGAGAACCTTGATTTGGGTGTGAGTTTGTTTACCTCAGGGTATGGAGGAAGTGATGGAGGTTTATTAACCTCTTCAGGTGCCATTGAAGTTGAAGGTGGTGAAGAAGCTCCAAACAAAGCTAGTGCAGTTTCTTCACCCTACCCACTGAGCTAAGAAAAAGAGAAAAAAATAAAATTACAAACTTTAACAAAGGCAGATTCTAGTTTTATCAGGAAAGTGAGTGTGTTTGATATGGGTGAATGCAAAGATCTAAGGAATGAATTTAAAGGAAGATAAATAAATTTAAAAATGGAAAAAAAATTAATATTTTAAAAATAAAAATTAAAAAACCCTTCCTACCTCTTTCTTCAACCTTCTCTTGTTCATCTTTACCAGAATATGGACGGCTAGGAATCACCAAATGAATGATGATCCTACGGTTGAGGTTCTATTATGGAGTAGGTCACTTGGATCGATGACGTGGTAGGAATGTGCTAGTTTACAAATTTTTTTGAAGGTACCCTGTTGTCCTTTGCTTGATTGTTTTTTGTTCCTTTGGATGAGGTTTTCATATGGAGACAATCTCATCTTTTAACGTTTTCTTTTTTGGCATTTATTTTCATCATAATTTGAAGAGAGTTGAAATTCGGAACTGTACCTATTAATTTGTTGTTGGGACGTTGAAATCCTTCATAAATTATCATATATTTATTTTTAATAATTTTTCTCAATAAAAAATTTGATGTCCATGTAATTTCCTTATTTTTATCATAGATAACTTGTCCTTGAAAAGTATTTTAGGGAAGATATGTATAAATGGACATGAAAATCACTTAAACGCAATGAAAATAAATAATTTTTTTTTTTGGTAAATCAAAATAAATAAATTAAACTCTACATAATATAATCGTAATCAATAAATATTTTATAACTCATTAACATGTTGGTACTTGATATGAATTTAGAGATATAACATCAGGGGAATTTGTACTAAAGAAGTGAAGTAAAAATTTGAGAGTAAATTAAGGGGGAAAGTCAAGAAGAAAATGAGAATGAGAAAAAGATTCACTCACATTAACATAATGATATCCAGATATAGGATTATCAAACGATCATAAATGAGATAATAAATGATTATTGTAAGAACTTGCACCGTTAATTAAGAAAATTAATCAGTTAATTATAAGCTTAATGAGATAATTTCATAATTGATCATAATAATTATTATGAGGCTCTAATAATTATAGTAAGTGAGTAATAATGTTGAAAGTCGTTTTTCTGACGAAAAATGCAGATACCGGTTCTGCTAGTCGGCATAAATGCGTACCGAAAAAGTATCCCAGAAAATTATATTAAGTGCATGATAATTACTAGAATAATATGTAGGACTTGTAAAACGAGTTTCAAGTTAAAATAATAATAACTGGTGCCAGAAACTGGTACTGGCTATGAAAAACGCGTACCGAAAAGGTGCTCCGAAAAATATAAGAAAAATATGATAGTTCTTGTAAAATTGATTAGGTTAAGAATCCTGAGTTTGGGATTAAAATGCTAAGTGTAGCAATTAAAATTAATATTGTGTGATTAATTATTAACCAGCTATAAATAGCCACTTGCACACAACCCTAGGCTGATCCTTAGCCTTTTATGCATGGGTTTTAGTGTGTGCTGGTCAGCCTCTTTGTGCCTTGCCTTCTCTTCACCATTTCTTCAAGAAAAATCTCCAAAGTCTTCTATTTTCCTTTGATTCTTCTCCTTCTTTCTTTGTAAACACTTGGTAGAGTGGTATGGGAGGGTTGAGTCAGCCATTTTCTGAGTTGGTGCTTCTGTTTTGGGGAAGGGAGAGTGCTGGTTGGTGTTGGAGCCTTTGTGGTGGCTTTTTTAGCTTCAAAGTGTCATCTTTGTGAAGAAAGGAACCACCTTGTTGTACATTTTCGTGCACCCTTTGTGTCAGCACCTTGAAGCTGACTTGTGAGCTCCAAGAGCACCTTTGGTTGGCTGTTTTGAGCTTTGGGTAAGTTGTCTAACCTTGATCATGAGTTTTAATGGTTTAAAGGTGGTGTCTTTGCATGTAAATGGGTTAAACAAGTAACCAACTGGTATGTGGACTTAAAACAGATTAAAGATGCATGCTTTGACGTTTTAAAGTGTTAAAAATGGTACCTTGAAAGGATATCTTCGTGAAATGCAGAAATTGCATTCTGTCGCGAAATATCCGGATATGGTATCCGGATATGGATATCCGGATATGGTGATCTGGATATCCAAATATTGATATCCGGATATGCCCCCGACAAATATCCGGATATTCTGGGTTTGCGAGGAACAATAGTTGTAATGTTCATACAGTAGGCTATTGGGGGTTTGTAGACCCTAGATCGATGAAGTTGAACTTCTGTTTTAATTGAACTAAGTCATAATCAATGGATTAAGGGATTATGGCTTGGTGAGAAGCCTTAAGACGTAAAACGTAAGAAAGGCGTTGTCTTTATGATGTATGCTTGTAGTGCATGTTTATTGATTTATTATTGGTCCATATCAGATTGTGATTCTGCTGTGTTTGGACTTTGAGGATTGGTTGGACTCTTGGCTTGTAGTGTTAGCTTGCAAGGTAAGCTTTTGTGTCCTCGGTTTAGTCATGTTGTGGTTCCACCATGTCCCATGGGGGTATGGTTATATGTATGATGTGTTACATGCTTTGAATATTTGAAATGCTGTTGAGCTTTATGTGTAATGACTTTTAATATGCATGTGTTGTTCCATCTTGACGGTAAGCCTGAGTATGTGGCATCATACAAGACGGTGATCTGGGGTGGATGCAAGTGGTGTCTTGCACTTTGTGTATTAGACGTATATACATCCTGCATTTCTCTGGCCAGTAGAATAGAATTGACACACATGACATGATTATCTGCTGCATTGCACTATTTTAGAACTGATGATGATAAACTGCTTTTGAACTTATATTGCACATGTAAATGAGCTTGGGGTGGAAGATCCTTGAGGACCCCTTGCCTTACTGAGATTTCTTGTTTAGAGATCTCACCCCACATTTGGGGAATGCTTATTTCAGGTTCAGGTAGTATGTGGACTGATGCCTCTGGCGGCAGGAGGCCAGAGCTTAGTTGATGTTTAGTGCTATTCATTTTATGCTGGCATGACTGGATTGGATGTTATTTATGTTTTCTGTCATTTATGCTTATGTTGCTGTTGTTGAGACTGATATTGAGCTTTGTTGCCTTATTTGGGTGAGCATGTGAGTTGTCTATGCCTCTATGTTGTTAGTATTTTTGAGTTGAGTTGTATAAACCGTTAAATGGTCTGGTCTACGTATTGTAGTTCCGTGACTAGAGACTCATACTTATGTTTTTAATTAATGAGGTATTTCGGTTAGCTGTTTATTGCAATGTACATACAAGCTATGCTTTGAAAATGGTTAAGTAATCAAGTTGGTAATGATTAATGACGTCATAATTGAAAAGAAAAAGATATTCCGCATTTTTAATTAAGCGCAGCTTAATACGATAGTATGATAACATTACCGGATATATACGGGGTGTTACACTTATGATTTTCAAAATCCAAATTAATCCATTTGAGACATGAAAGTAGGATATAATAAGTTTTGTTAACATATATTATTAATATACAGGTCAAAAAAATAAAAATAAAAATTTAATGTCTTTTATTAAAAATTATTAATTTTGTAAAAAAAATATTAAATAATTTTATTTATAAGATAGTGATCAGACCCAAGGGTCTAACACATGGTTGAACCTAATCCAAATGGGTGATTTAATGGTTAAAGTGACAAAATCTCTTTTGTTGTGCGCGATGATATCAGTTCAGTTCAACTAAAGATGGTGGAGTGTAAATTGGCTGGAACATGATAGGTTGGCTAGAACATGAGGGGATTGGTACACTCCAATGTTCAAGTTGGTATGTGAATAAATGATCTTAAGTATATATGATAAGAAGATGATTAAGTTTTAAGCCTCCCTTTTACACTAGCGGCATAACCTATTTGTTGGTTTATTATTTCATCTTAGTATGACAATATTATTAAAATCTCTTTAATTGGCTAATTTAGGTGGTTATGTAAGCCTATCCCTCTTGCGGTATGCCTCTTGGTAAGTTATAGTACATATACTTGATTGGAATCTCAGGTCTCTCATCCAGTTATGGCCTATAAAATTTTGTGCTATTGGGAACTTTCTTGTTTCCTTGCGGGATTGCATGTACATTTTCTTATAAATTAAGTATTTTCCTTGGACATTATGTTGGGTCATTATTGGATATGTTCCTTTATATCTTTTAGTATAGGTTAAGATCAATATTAAATATTTATTTTATATTTATTAATTTTATGGTCAAATTTATTTATTTGTTGTATATTCATAATCAAACGTGTACTCTTAAGTTAACAAAACTCATAATAAATTGTACATTTTCAAAGAACAATTGTATTTAAATTAAAAAATATAAATATTTTATGCATCTTTTTTCAATTATAAGCTTATATGTGTAATTTTAATTGTAAAGTGATTTTTTTTTTTTGAAGTTTTCATGTATAAATGGTCATGAACCAAAATAATGAGGGAATCAAGTGGTGGAATAGACAAGGCCGATTTGTTTGAAATCTGCTATATTTTAACAAAAAGATTAGGCTAAGATTTTTGTTTTGAAAAAAAAAATGTTAAAATTAAATAGATTAGATTTCAAGACTTAAAAAAAGAATTTAAATTTATGAGGTTCGTCTATGTAACAGGGTTCGTTGTATCAGTGTAAGAGCAAGGAGAAGATAGGGTTGAGAGAGAGACAAGAGAGAGAGATTGCTGAATTTTCTATATTTTCTTTTCTTGGCTTCATAGGCTATTTGTAATACACTAATGGATACGTGGACTGAAAGTCTAAACGGTGGTAATTAAAGACAATATTACAATAAAAGAGTGCCTCCTATTGGGCTATCTGGCATTCTCAGCCCAAAATAAAATCATTCAAGTGGGATGGTTTGTTAGTCACTCTTCCGCTTCTGGTTGACATGGGTTGTGGGTCTTCTTTCTTCATTAAACCCGTTACATCACTCCGCCCTCTCACAACAGACTTGTCCTCAAGGCTGAGTTTTGGAGCAAACGTGGGCTGCTGTGAAGGAACTAACATAGCGTGTGGCCCAACAGTGGGGCTAAAGGGTGGCAACGATTGAGTAGCTGGTAGTGGAGGATAGGTGGAGCGCACTTTGGACGGTGGAGCTGCTTTGTTTGAAACCAATGCAATCTGATGCGTTGGATTTTGAGAGTCGTTGGCTGCCAGCTGTGATCCATTATGAACAGATGGTGAGGATTGCATCGACATAGGGGCTTGTATCTTAGCCGTTGAATGTGGGAACTGGGGACTTGACGAGGAGCAGGCTTTGTCAGCTAAAAGTGGGGTTGCGTGAAGCTTAGGGTCATAGTGTTCATTTTCAAAGCTTGTAGTGTCTCCCTCTGA